CTGCTGCTGATGCTGCTGCTGCTGTTACTGCTGCTGCTGCTGCTGTTACTGATGCTGCTGCTGCTGTTACTGCTGCTGCTGCTGTTACTGCTGCTGATCCACAGGAACTGGTACTGTTAGAACCCCTCACTAACACCTCCTGGATCTGACTTTAAACATTATCATTCTGACCCAGTCATGATTGGATTTTCATCTGGTCAGTAGTCGTAGACTTCCTGTCTGAATCCTGGTTATTGTAGAGCACACGCCCCACATGTTTGTTCTCCTGAAGAACATTCATTTCCGGTTCTTTGATCATCATCACAGTGATGAGAGCTGGTCCCAGGTCAGCTGACGTCTGCAGAGATACGCCTCAGATCATTCCAGGATTTAGCTTTACATGATATTAAAATCTGTTACATATATTAATGTCTCATCAGGAGATGATAGATTAGACAGCAGTAAACAGAACCACGGAACAAGTGTAAGAAAAATCAAGACTCAGAGACGTTTACAGAAAAAAACAATATTTGAAGGTTTAATAGGATTTATTTCAGACAACAGCAGCGTGTTCCAGTGTTGACCCATAGAGGTCAGTGGATGAGAAACTAGGAGAAATCCCTGTCTGTGTCTGTCTGACGTCCCTTCAGTGATGATGTCACAGGTGCAGCATCAGCACCAGAGTGTGACGAGGAGCAGCGCTGCGTCTGAGTCAAGAGCAAGTCACCGCGAAGTCGACGCTCCGTGACTCATCCTGGTGACTTCAGTCAGGATGAAAGTCAGACTCACTTCTCATCTGCAGAAAAGAGGAAGTGAGTTCTTCTTCTTCTTCTTCTTCTTCTTCTTCTTCTTCTTCTTCTTCTTCTTCTTCTTCTTCTTCTTCTTCTTCTTCTTCTTCTTCTTCTTCTTCTTCTTCTTCTTCTTCTTCTTCTTCTTCTTCTTCTTCTTCTTCTTCTTCTTCTTCTTCTTCTTCTTCTTCTTCTTCTCCACCTTCATCCATCTCAGAGACATCAGACTTGGTCCATCATCTCCACCCATCGGCTGCTGACACTTCAAAACCACTTCACCTCCTCCATCAACCTCCTACCCCCCCCTCCCTCCGCTCCTCTCTGTTTTGACGTTAGCTGTGATTTGTTAAGATCAGCCCTGAGTTCCGTCGTGATCTGCTGCGTCTCATCCCAGTGTGAGAGGATAAAAGGTGTGAACGTCTCCGCCCCAACATCCTGGGGAGAAACACTTTAATCTGAGAGATGGAGGGAGGTTGGTGTCGGAGTAGATTAGAAGTTATCACCGCTCTGACACACAAAGACTTTCATTTTCATCCATGAGAAACCAGTGGGAGACGGTGGAAATAAAGAGAAAAAAAACCACACACACAGACACACACCTGTTCTCACACACCAACATTTCTGTCTCTTCACCTCATCCGGGTTCAGCCTCTGGGCACGAAGCTGCACAACTGCCACAGCGGAGGGTGACAACGTTAATTACCCCACGACAACAGCAATTACACCACAACACAGCCCTCGTGCTTCAGTCTCTGGGGCTGCAGATGTGAATCATGTGTGTGTGCGGGGGGAGGGAGACAGAGAGGGGGGGGGTTCCTAAACACTGTGTTTTGCATGTTACATCTGAATGGGATTCGACAGCAGGGCAGATTTTTTTGGGGCAGATAATTGCGGCTCATTCCACTGTGGTTCTCGTCTCCAACTCTGTGAATCAGGTCGTCACTGGAGCTGTCCCTCCACCGAGATTGTTGATCAGATCAATCACGATTAGTCGTGATGGTAACTGATCGCGGTGATGATGTCGAAGCCTCTTCTAACGCCTGTAAGATGAGGTCGACGCAGGTTAATCAATCACCTGACGTTGTCGATCATCGATACAGTCGGACTGTGTTGTTTGTGAAACTGGATCGACCGGGGCAGAGCGTCTACGGCCCAGAACTGCCAGGAATCACAGCAACATCCAGGTGAAACAAAGTCT